CCAAACTCAGAAGAAATTTTAATGACTTCTCATCTGGGAACTGGATATTTAGGTTTCCCACTGACTGAGATGGTTTTATTCATTCAGGTTTCTGTATATAATCACCTCCGGAACTCCTTTTAAACTCTGTAGGTTCAACTAATTGTTGACTTCTGCACATATGGGATTATTTATCCATAAAGTCTGGACAACAAATTTTCTTTGGAAGATTGGTGCTTCTGTTTCTAATGTACTTTTAGAATCCAAAGTATGTTTATCATCCTGAGGCATAGCCACATACCACATGCTTGTAACAAATAAAATAATCAAAGCCACCTATAAAATATTGGAAGAACATAGGTGCTAACACTTAATGCCTAAGTTTTAGAAAAGCCACACAAACAATTTTAGCCCTTATGTAATTTTTATAACTATAAACATAAACATGATGGAGCTTCCATAAGTACTATTCTTAATATTGAAATACATTGAATAATAGAATCACATTGAATGAGTTGGAGGAATTACTACAAATAAACTTCCCCTTTTCCCCTTGATTTTCAGGTGCACATATAAATTCTAATATTTGTCCAGAGGATATAATTACTTTGTCAAAAGACAGGACTTTTAGTAACTTCCTCAATGCTCTTATTTCCTCAGGTGAATGGAATGAAAACAAACTTGCCTATACATGATAGTTGCAACAAGGATTGAATAAAATAATAGTTTTATAGCATAAATAACATGGTGCCTGATGTATGGCAGGTGCTACCCAAATTATGCATATCATCTAAGAAATCATTAATTGTTTGTATGTCAGAATATATTTTTACACCAAGTACAAAATTCTTAAAATTTAAAATCTTAAAAGTCAGGCAGCTAGAAAAGTAAATCATCCATGTAAGCTGCTCATTAAGCAATGGTACATTTGGTTCTGGGGATGTGAAATATTCCTTATCCCTCACCAAATTTTTGTTGTTGTTTTTCTTATTATTAATCATATTTTAAATCTATTTTAGTTCAGCAAAAATTTGAAGCTGAAACATAAGAAAGCACCCTCATGAGTCTATGATATCTCAGGGAAAAAAAAAGTTTGCTATAAAATGCATTCTTTAATGTTTGTGAACTGGAATAGGACTTTCCATTTCCTTCTTGCTACTTAAATATTTTCTTTCAAAGTAATTTAAAACATATTGCTGTAAATATTATATATGTTCAACAGGAAAATACCAGTAAGCAAGAAAAAGAAGGAAATAAAAAATTGTGTGTGTAATTATCAGCTTCAGACAGAACAGAGGAACTGGTACTGAACAAGTTCTGCCCCCAAAACAACAGTGAAACTGGAAAACAGTGTGAAGGAGCTCATTCAGTAGACAGCACAAGAGCATGACTTCCAAAGGTAGGGTGTCCCAGCTCTCTTCCTGGGGATAATTCCCCAGTTTCCCAGCATAGGGAGCTGGATGTCAGGCACAACATGATGAGTCTTCCAGGAGGAGGCAGGAATACAACTTGGAGACAGTCAGCGGCTGAAATCTGGAGAAGGGAACAAAGAGGTGGGAGGTGCACAAAGCTGGGGAGTGGGGGTAGGTAGGGCAAGCTCCTTTAGGGATTTCCTGTGAATCCCTGGCTGAGGAATCTTGCGCATGTGCAGAACCAAACAACTGCCAAAGTGGCTGCTAGGGGTTTGAAAAAGAGAGACCTATAGCTCTAACAGTGCTCAGAACTGGAGTTACAGCCTGATTTCAAAACAATGATCAAGTTGAAAAGTAGAAAGCCCCCACCTGAGGATAAAGATCACACTCTAAAGGAAGGCCAATTATAGACATTCTTTCGGAGCGTAAGCAGGTCTAAGCATTCTCTAAAGGATCTCAGAACATGCAGTATTTGGAGTTTGCTCCTTGACATTTTAGGTCTTGAGAAAAACCGTTAGCTTTTCACAAAATGGGCCCACCAAAGCATAGAACCAAACCAATATATGGTCACTGCGATCAGCCAGTTACTGACTTGCCTATAAGAAATATATATATATATATATATATATATATATATATATATATATATATATATATATATAGTGTTCTTCAGAGATAGATAGCAGAATCCAGAATTGCTACAATGTCTCATGCTGATATTCAGTTTAAAATAAGTGACTATGTAAGCAAAGAAACAGAAAAATGTGGTCCCTAGTCATGAAATAAAAGCAATTAATAATTGACCTCAAAGGGCTCAGATGTTGGAGTTAGCAAGAAGTAGAAAATGAATGTTCAAAAGGGAGCCACAAAGCCAATTTTTTTTTATTTTAGGAATTAGAGGGTGTATTGATGTCTCCCATTGCTTAATTATCTGCATATATCTGTTTTATATGTAAAATATAGAAACTATTAATATTATGAATTTATATATGATTTGGATCATATTATAAGTACATACTAATATTAAAACCTATCCATATTCATTGGCTTATAATGATCAATGAAACTATCATTTTAAATTTTAATTGTACTGTTCACAAGATAAAATGACCTGTTCAATTTTGCATATTGTACTTACAGTGTAATATTAACACACGTTCAGGTTTGGATTGTACTTGCCTGATGGAGTTTAAGTATTGTGTTATTTAAATTCTTGAGTTTATATTTTAGAATGTCTCGAGAACAATATGTAATTGATTTTAATTTTTAATATGTAATTCCATTCCAACATGATGCTAAGTACTGTATTAAAGTTTAGTCAGGAACATAGAAAACATAGTAGTAATTTTCATCGAAAGGATTTAATACAGAAAAAGCAGTTAAACAGTCACTGACGGAATAAAAGAACAATCAAGAGCATTGAGGCAACATGAATTGTACTTAAAAGAAACATAACAAGAGAGGGATGTTGGGACATCTGAACTGGCAGAGCTAGAATGCTGACCTTGGAGGAGATGGCTGCTCTGGCTGCTCTACTGCACTATTTGTTCAGAGGAGGGATTCGCCATGAGGGGAATACCCAGAGAGGGGATCCCTGGGAAGCACAGGCTGGTCTGGGAACCTGGAAAGAAGCTGGAAACCAGAACCAACTGCACTTCAAGAGGTAAAAGAATGTTTCTAAGAGGTGGCAACAGGCACCACAGGCAAGCAGAAAGAAGCAAGTCCTTGTCTCTGTGTCTGCCCGCCATGTGTCCCTTGAGTACTTCTCTTTGGTATTACCTGTCTGGAAATATCCAACAAAGAAATGAAGCTTGTAGAATCCTGACTCCAGATTATGGAAAGTTGGGTCTAGAGCCAAAAGACAAGCTTAACAATCAGAACACCATATCTTCACAATTTTTAAGCTCTTAATTATTAATTCATCCCTTGGTCAATTTGAATAAATCTTCCTACGATTTCAATGCCATGATTTTACACATTTTTTTGTGTGTGAATTTAAAACCAGAGTATTATTTTCTTTTCTATGCCAATAAATGAAATTCATCCTTTACAAAAATCTTGGGGGGTGTGTGTGTGTGTATTTTTTTAAACCAGGGAGAGAACTCAGGGACGCTGAACTACTGAGCCACATTCCCACCCCTTTTTATAAGGCAGGGTCTCACCAAATGGCTGAGTGCCTTGCTAAGTTGCTGAGTTTGACTTTGAACTTGTGATTCGCCTGCCTCAGCCCCCTGAGCTGGGATTTACAGGTGTGCACCATTGTACCCAGTGACAATTGGTTTTTGTGCTTAAAATTTCTTAGATATTATTCTATAATATCCAGGAATTTAGTGTGGCAGAGGAGAGGTTGAACACTACATTATTTCATTTCCTTTGTGGTTAATCCATTTTCTTCTTGGTATTGACCAAAACAGTAATTGAGACATATCCAAGGTTCTCTGCAAAAGAATAACTAAGACATGGCCAAGGCTCTCTGCATTTGCCTGGTTTGATAGAGTGACTTTCCTTTGTATCATGGTGTGTCTTTGGCTTTGAGATATGTTTACATATTTTATCATTGACCACTGCATCATTTCCATTGGTTCTATTTTTTCCTTCATGCATAGAATTATCTGTATGTTGGCTTTTGAGTCTTATTCCTAGATATGTATTATTTTATTTCTTATTATTTTATGTATTTTCCCTTTTCCTTTGATGGCCAGAAGAGCTATTCAAATATATCCTTTATATCCCTGATTCAGTTTTCTGCAATATCACTTCCATTCAGAACTGCTATTGCATTTCAATTTCTTGTAATTCTTTCTTATCATATCTTCTTTCCCTCACATGCTGTTGCTTTTTAATATTTTTAAATAAATCCTAACTGCTATTAATAAATACCATGACTCCTTGAAATCTATTGCAGAATTTTCTAAAAATTTCTGCTAGATCACTTACTAGATAATGTTCAGAAGTATTTTCAGCTTCCAAGTCTTAAGTCCCATTCTCATAACCACTTTCAGTCTGTGGCCCTGACACTGGGAAATTTTGTCTTTTAAGATATATCTTCAAATGGTCTACTGTATTCAATTTAAATGGTTCTCATCATAGAGGATGTAGATATGGGGGAGTTTTGTTTTCTCTGACAAATATCATTAGTCTACATTTCAAGAGCAAGTTTGCTCAGTTCCCAGTTCAATTCTTTTTCCCAAAAGATTTCAAGTCATTGCCTTCTGAGATGAAATCCTTTACTATATCAACTTCATGTTTTCTGTCATCCTGAACACAAAGTGTGCATGAAACCTTAGCATTTCCATCATGCTCTAGCATTAGAGTTATTCATGCTTTCTTTCCCATCTTTACAAGTTTACTTGTGATAATTTTGTCATCTTGCATCCAGTGTACTCCCGAAGGTTCTTCTCACCCTCTTTCTATCTTTCACACTTCTCCAGATGTTTTCACCAATTTAGGTCCTCTTTCTCCCCACTCTCTGCAAAATGTATAGTCAGAGGCTAGATGTGGAGGCTAATATGTAAGCAAAATACTTGCCAAATTATGGCATTTCCTTAGTGAAAGGAAAGCCAGGAACCAGGAGATGGGTGAGCGAGAAATGAAAGTCAGAGACCAGGCTGAGATACACATGAGAGTTTATTTGTCATCTCTCTATAGATGGAAAGAGGCAATACAGGTTTGAGTTCTGGGACTTTTATGAGGCAGGCCATGGATTAGAGCCCCAAGGGTACTAATGCAGGTGGTTAAGTGTTAGGTTGGTGTGAAGGGAGAGGTGAACCTTTCTCAGAAACACCCTTGGGTGGGAAAGCAAAACTTTTTCTTAAGATAGAGGCTGTCACTTAAGATGGCCATCCAGATGCTAAGCAAGGACCTGACAATTAGGGATTCTATTGTTCCCTGAAAATTTGAATCTGGATTTTTTTCTATGTGGAAAAAAAAAAGAAAAGGATAGCTTCATAATATGAAGCCAGAGACACTGAATTAGGAATGGTCTTGCTTTTTATCACTTCAGCTTCATTCATGCCCCTGCTTCACCACCAGCTGTGGTCCATTTGAAAATCCCACATCAGTCATCTCTGCTGGGAAGGTTGAAAGACCCGGATGAACTGTAAAGAGAAACATCCTTAGAGAAGTCCACTGGATTAAGGAAGAAGGTGAATTTATTTACAAGCTTTTCCTGACTCTTGCTTCCCATTGGACAAAGTTAACTCATGAGGAAGTGAACTTTGTCACTCTTCCAGGTTGCACCATCTGGTGTTTTTTTTTTTTTTTGTTTGTTTGTTTGTTTGTTTTGTTTTGTTTTGTTTGTAGCTGTTCAGGATGCCAGACTTATGGCCCGAAGTGTATATTTTGCTTGGGACAAGGAAGGGCAAAAGAAACTAAAAGCCCAAGCATTTAAAACTGGTCAGCCTGGTTGCACTGAAGTTGCCAAAAGATTCTTGGCACTTGCAGGGCCAAGAATTTATTGGCTGCTGCAGGTGGAAACAAAGTGGTCCAGAAAGAGCAAGGGCCAAAGAAATCCAGATAATTAATACAATAGGCATGATGCAATATGACTTATAATTAATAAAGAATTGTTAATTCTTGTATGACAACACCAATCGGACTTTCTTCTCAAAATTGGCAATGTTGTCATTACGTTTTGACAACTGAGCTCTTAAATTTCAGTGTGAGTCTAGTGGGAAGTTGATAACTAGTGCTAATGGCCAGATGTGAGATTCACTTTTCAATTTTCATGAATACTTCAGAGAAAAGTAAGTTTGTTCTCTCTACCTAGTTTAACATGTAACTAATAATTATCAGTAAGTCAATTTGTAAAATTATTCTAGCTGATTTATTTTTAATGAAAGGTGAACTCTCATTTAGTAGTTGACATTGTTTAATTCCTTTTCAAATTAAAAAGGATTCATTCTCTACTGGAATGCCTAGTATTTGACATGTCACATCTTCTGTTTATATTTTCTTTTGAAGGATTTAGCTGATTTAGATGAAATACTGAAAGCTAATAAGAAGTATCAAGATAAAGCATGAAGTTATTTTGTTGTTCTGACTGCTTTCTCGTAAAAATGAATAGCAACTTTTCACATTAATATAAAACCCATGATTATAGAAATCATGATTTATATTTAATCACTAGATAAACTAAAATTTACTATCTATTAAAATGTTTTAATATATCATCATAATAAGTTTCTACCATTTTGAGTAATATTAGTAAGTAAAGTAGTTCTGTAATTCCCTCTCTTCACTGATTTATGTCATTTTGTGCAAAAAGGATATGTTGCTGATCTGCCAAGAATAGGAAAATGGTCCTGAGATAGTTTTCTAGAGGGTAGAAGTGATTTTTTCAAATAAAGTTTTACACTATGATCATACCTGCAGTCATTTGAAGTACGTCTTTATAAAGAAATTATTAGTTTCTTTATTCAATATTCCAATGGGGAGAAATAAAATGAGATATGTGCACTGTGTCCCAAAACACATAAATAGACAGTTCTCTGGATTTAACACAGTAAAATAACTTTATTGCTTAGAAAAGTATGTCTCTTAAATACAAATACAAAAAATAAAAAGCAATTCTTTCCTAGTCAGTTTTAACCTTGTGTTCATTTAGGTAATTGGGCAGATGGAAAGAATTAAAGGATAGAAAAACAGCAGAAAGAACACATGGCCGAGGAGAAGATGAAATGAATAGTGAAAGGAAAGTCAATCAGAAAGGTACACAAAATTCATCTGTCAAGTATTAGAAGTCAGTATTAAAAATTAGAAGTACGTGAACTAAAACCTTCATTATTTCACATAAACAGAAGAATTTTGTTGCATTATTTTTAATTTTTTAAAAATCAAGATATTCTAAATGCATTTTTCCAAATAAGTGATTCACATTATAATAATCAAATTAAGTAACACATAAACCCTAAGTTCATAGAAACTTGTACTTTTCATTATAAACAAAAGTAATTTTTTAACCAAAGATGTATATACCTTAGCAGTATATTATCTACCTCAGCACAGTTCTACAGTGTGTAATATAGAGTGTATGGAGAAGTTACTCTGTACGTTTTCTCTCAGAATCTGACTGTACAATGTGACCTTTAGTGGAAGCTGGCATTATGTACAGATATTTTGATATCTCAATTGCATGAAAACATTCCTTAACAAATTGAAAGCAGTGACCTGTCTCCCTCTCTATATAAAGTAGAGAGTAGAATCTTTCAAGCCGACTGAAGGAAGAAGGTGGAAGAAGGGTCATCAAATAGTGTTAGAGAGGCTTCATTGAACAGCAGAGTAAGAATGAAACAATCAACCCTTCTCATTCTGTGATGAAGTCTTTTAATAGATAAGACAAAAATAATGAATAGTTTCATTTCTTAAATTTGGATTTCTTTTTAAAAATGTTTTAGCTGAACTTCAATTCACACACCTGAGTGGGCATAAATGCCTTCGTGGAGGAATATTTCCTTCGAGCATCAGCTTTTAGGAAATCTACCAGGACAACTCACATGAAAAATGTATATTCTTATAAAGAAACTTTTTAAAAACCAAATGACTTGTTTCACTTGTTAAAAAAAAAAACTAACAGGCTTTTCCAATTTTTTAATATTTCTGGTAGCAGAAAGAGGTTTTTCAGTTACTCGACAGCTACATCTTATCTCACACTGCAATTCTCTCAGGCAATGCAAACGCATTTTTGTGTCCTTTCACAGTGCAGTTCACTTGGAGACAAAAGCAAGAAGAATTTGTTTCACTTGAGCTATTCCCTTTTAACATATGCTTTCCGGCTGACTAAAGTTATCTTTAAAATTGTAACAGTCAAAAGGGCATTAGCCATAACCATCAAAATTGTTATGAATTATTTTAGTGTTACAATGTTCAATAAAGGACAAGATATTGGTTATAATTTGTTCATTATTGTTCTAGCATTCATAGTTTATCATGCACATATATAGTTCTGCAATTACTTACAAATTAACAGTATTAAAAAATACCTGATTTTAAAATATCATGTTCAAAAACGACCACTTATGAAATATGACCACTGGAGAAAAAAGAATTCTTGTGTTGCCATTCTAAATAAGAATATCTCATTGGCCTTGCTGTTAAAAGAACAATAGAAGACTAATTAGCTCAACTATGTATTAGTCCCAGCGAGGGAACCCCAAAGCCCACAGTAATTTTGACACAGATGTATGCCACATGATACCTTTATTATATGCTAATGATATTTGACCAGGAAACATAATAAAAACTTTTTTAAAAAAAAATCAATTAGAACAATTCCATTATAATAGGAAAGAAAAGGTTTATGTTCACTATAAGTTCTTAGGATTTTTGCTAATTTAATTATATTCGGTACATCACCGTTGTATGATTCAATCTAATGTACTTGACAGCTGAAATAATGGTTTGAATATCTCTAAATAATCATTTACAAGTTGTTAATGAACATGGAAATGTACACAGTAAGCTAACAAGTAATTTTGGTTTTTATGGTGGGACTTCTTTTCCCATGATTTTTGCTGCATTGAATAAAGTCACATCATATCTTTTCTTATTGAAACAAAAAGTTCCTCAGTAAGTACAAATTTATTTAGTGTATTAGGCAGGAGAGATTTTTGTTATTGTTGATAGTGGTGGTGGTGCTGTTGGTTAGTTTTGGTTTAAACCAAGAATGCAGCTTAGATATTTTAAAATATGTATCTAAGTCCACAGATGTTGGGATTAACTAATAACACCCTGAGTCTTCTCTATTTTTCCTACTCTGCTACACTAATGTTCTCTGGGGCCAGAGTTCTTTCTAGTTTGTTTACCAAAGTATGTTAGGCATCTAGCACAGCATATAGACTTAGATAGTATTTATTGAATTTACTTATTATTGAATATAGGAAGAATTGAATGCTAAAATTCTCCATTATGAGGAGTTGCAAAGCAGGAATCCATTTTGTGATATTTTCCTTGTTTGTCATGTACTAATGCCTTGTGTAATTAAACACCAAAGAAAATTTAAATGTTGATGATGATGGAAAATGATAATAATAATGATAGTTGGAAAGTATTTTTGTAAATGTTGGCTTTGCTTTGAAATCACCTGGGAAGTTTGTTTTTTATTGTTGTTGTTTTGTTTTGTTTTTTAAATACAGTTACCTGATTTTCCTCTCAATAAATCTGTTTTAAGAGGTCTGATATGTAGCGAAGGGCAATGGGATTATTTAAATCTTTCTAGTTAGTTCAAAACATACAGCTAAGACTGAGAACTAGTGTTCCATATGATCCTATCATGATGAGTATGATGAAGGGAAATTTCAGGACACTTACCTTATAATTTTAATTTATGAAAATAAAAGAAGTTTGGGACTGGGGTTGTGGCTCAGCAGTAGAGCGCTCACCTAGCACGTGCGAGGTGCTGGGTTCGAGCCTCAGCAGCACATAAAAATAAATAAATAAAATAAGGTACTGTGTCCAACTATAACTAAAAAAATAATTAAAAAAGAGAAAATAAGTTTGTTTTCTAAAGCCAATTTTAGGTAATATAATAAATGTATTCCGCTTCTGCTAGACATGCCAGCACACCAATCAAATTATATCTTTAAACGCTGTTCTCAGCCATTTTGCTTATAGTTCAAGGAGGAAAGTTACATAAACAAAGACTTATCAAGAGTTAAAGTGGCTCTAGTCCTGGAATAATAACAACACAATTATGTGAAAAATTTGAAGTTTGGGGAAGGGAAGAGAAAGTGGGTAAAGGTTACTGATTCCAAACCAAATAATCTATTTCCATCAGTATCAAAGCATCAGAAGATGCAAATACATTCACATGCTTTCCTTCTCAACTGTCACTGGTGATAGTCACACTATAATTTATGGATCTACAAATAGTATGCTAGGGCTATAATTGTGAAAGCTGTATTTTCTAAGCTATAAATTGGGATACACCTTGAGGGTATCTGGCAGCAGAAGATACTTGATGCCAACCTCAGTAAATTCAAAAGTAACTAAAGCAGTCTTTCCAAAAGTACTCCTTAATGGTCATTCAGACCAGGTAGCCCTTGAGGGTTTTCTTGTTCCTACTACTGGAATTTTTAATGCATCTCAGATCAGGGAAGAACATTTGAATCCTGATACCAAAAAATGTTTAGAGAGAGAGAGAGAGAGAGAGAGAGAGAGAGAGAGAGAAACTACTCAGGAAAAAGGAAAGAGTTAAAACAGTGTTTATACCATAATCTTTCCATTTATTGACTGTGTGGAAATGGAAATTTTTCTTTCTTTACAGAATTGCTTACTCATCTATAAATTGAGAAGACTATCCTGATTTGGCAGCACTGTTAGGAGAATCAGATGATGTACCAAAGAAATATGTATGAAAATGTAGTTCCTATCATAATAATTATAGTTGTTAAGAATAAAAATTATATTCCATGCTTCTTCAAAAGTGCATGAACATTTTGCTGATTTCTTTGCAAAGAACCTTATTCATAAGTCTAAAATCTTCCACTAGTAGTTAATTGTTGGTGTAAATATAGATTACCACTTTTGTAGCTAATCCACTGATGAGATGATGCCCCAGAAATGTAACAGAAAGCATTACTTTCTGAAAAATAAAGGAGAGCTAACAAGATGTTTTCACCTGTTTTAAGCTAATTTTTTAAATACTTACGTGCCACAGCAGGATCGTTTCACTTCCAACAGCTCTTCAGATGCAACTACCAGCCAGGTTAAGAGTTTAGTGCATAGTTATTATGACATGATTTTTTGACAAGAGCAATCAGCTATTGTTAGCAAGTGAAAGTTGAAATGATTGGATTGGTCAAATAATAGCACTTTAGGCCAGGAATGCAATTGAGAAAAGGCAACAGTCAAAACACTGCCAGGGTGATTCATGATGTTGGAATGTCATCTGGATTGGGTCAGAGGCAATGGAGTGGTGTCTTGGTTTACAGCTCAACTTCAAATATAGATTCTGATAACCTCTTGGCTTAGAATTGTGATCAGAGTCAGTCTTCCCATCCCTGTTCCCCCATGTTTGACCTTGTCCTACTCCCAATAGGGAAATAAGATTGCAATGTGGACACCAACCCAGTCTTCCACATGAAGGACCCCTGCTTTCATGAAGCTCAGAGATCTGGGACATAGAAAAGAGAAACTTCTGGATTAGCCCACCAAAGGCAGGTCTTTTGTCCTAACCCAGATGTGATTTCCTTGTGTGTAGGAAAAAAGGAAGCCACACATATTCTGCCTGGCTAGAATATGTGTGGCTTCCTTTGATTTGATTGAAACAAATCAAACAGAGCCAGAAGGGCTAGAACAGACTTGTTCATGGCTGTTTACCACTCCATCTGGAAGGAAAAGGGATTAAATTCATTCTTTCCACTGCTATCTCCTCCTGATAAGCAAAGAGGAAGAAAAGAAAGTTTCCCCCTCCTTCTTTCTGTGCAAATGTCAAGAATGGGTTTGTAAGCATATCTTAACAATAATTTGGTTGGTTTGACGTACAGGATTGTACGAAGAATATGACAAGAAAAGTGTTGGTAGATATTCTAAATAGGAAATGAAAGCATCCAAAACTGGAGCGTAGGACATGAAGAAGGATGGAAGCTAAGAAAGGGAGGAAGGAGAGGGCTCTGAGCATGGAAGACTAAGCAGATTCTCACATTCATGGTTCATAGCCTCAGGGATTTGGATTCAGCATGCTTGAAACAGCAGGGGCATGCGCATCATGGGATCTACTGGTTTAATGTTCCAGATAATGACCATGTAATTCTGATCTCTAAACCCTCATTCAAAATCGTTGGCTTCTGCGTGATGAGGAAGCAAATTTAGAAGCAAGCATATAAAGCAAGGATTACAGTGGAAGAGAAAAGAACCTAATGCCACCCTCATTGTATCCTGCAAATTGAGGAACTCCATCTTCATTTAGAAGTTTCCCTGGAACACATGATTGAGTACTGACAGGAGGAGAATGGGCACTGATGGAGTTCATAAAATCTATGGGTGAGTTTCCCACTTGGTGCAGAGGAAGCACACAAGAACAACACTTACAGTGGTACAAATGAGACAGACTACACACAAGCACCCAAAGGAAAAAACATACAGAAACTGAAGTTCAGCCTCACTTTGCCCCTCCCTGGCATGATACTACCTCCAGAGTGGTGCCTCTTTCTTATTTGTCCATAGTTACATCTGGCCTAGAGGTGGCCCTTAGACTACCAGGCATCTAGGTGAGCCTTATTTACTGTTTAGGGCTTTACTCATTCTGGAACCTATCTTATATAAAAATAATTACATTGATAGAAAATTGCTTTCATTTAGTCTTCAGCACCCAGTTCTGTTAGATCAACAGTTTGGGGATAATGAGGAGGCATTCACTATTTTTTGCTACAGATAAGTAAAAGATGGTTTTGTCATTAAAGGAGTTTATAATCTAGCAGATTAGAAAAGGGACACACAAATAACTAATCAAGACAGTGAACTTAAGGAAGCACAAAGTCTTTCATAAAAACTAGAAGGAGATTCCTTCTGATAGAGAAAACTAAAATAATCCAGGAAATAGTAATATTTAAGCAGCTGTTGCAAGGTGGACAGAATTTTAACAGCAGATGAGAGAGCTCTGTATATACCACAAACTCAGCCCAGAGGCAAGATGGTCAGCAAGCATGGAGACAGAGGGAAATCATTGTGCTTTCAGGGAAAGTGGAAAATTTTCAGGAAGAATGAGTAAAAGCAATGAGAAATAATACTGTCAAGCTATAATTAAAGGAGAAGGGCTATGTACTTCACACAATGTAGTCTTTTGCGGAACTGGCTGCATGTCCACTCTGGCCTTTTCCAGTGAATGAACTCCACATTTATCTGTTTTACATAATCATGTCAGAAGCTAAAAAGAAATATAAAATGAAGTCCACTCATCTAATATAACTTCATTATTCAGATTAAAAAATGATGCCAAGAAAGACACAGAAGGCCCAGCCAGCATCACAAAACAAATTAATGGCAGGCCTGAAATAGAACCCAAGGCTTTCACTCTTTACCAGCTCCTCATACTGGAATGCTAGTATACCCAGATACATAGGATGGCATACTAGAACATAAGTGCAGCTACAGAGTTAGCGTGGTACTAATCTTAGGACATGGATTTAATTCAATAGTGAGCAAGTGAAAGTATTTTCTTCTATAAAAATGAAATACACAAATTTTTAAACGTGCAAGCTATTACATTAGGTATTCCAGATTCCTGGAATATAGCATGACTCTTGCTGGCAATAGAGGTATTTGGATGGAACATTTTAAGAAGCACTTCATTATAATGAGCCTGGAAAAGGAGGTTGTTGCCAAATTTGGAGGTCCTTAAACATCACTTTCAGCAGTTGGATTCAATTCAATGGGCAGTGCATAACTCCCTAACTTTTTAAACTGTGGAAGAAAATTATTTGACCTAATTTATGTTTTAATTGCCTTACTTTAATGCTCCTATTGTTTGTGTCTTTTAACTGGCATGCAAGATTTCTCTTTGTCTTTGTGATTGATACTGTATACATGGAGCCAAATTGTCAGTTTAGGTAGCTGGCTTGGTTCTATTTTGCTTCGCGTGTTTTCCTAATTTATAGGTCCTTTGAAATTCTTTGGGAATTGATCTGAGACACAAGCACTAGAGCAGCACAGAACCTCCAAAGATTTCACCCCACCGAGTATAAAAAATAGAAAATATGATGGCTGAAGAAGGCACTCCTGTTGAACAGGTCTTTTGATTCCAGTTCTTATAGTAGGGGTGGTTTATAGAATCAAGAATCCCTGAGAATAAATGAACCTGACTTGCCTTAGAAGGTTTAATAATGGTACATGGTACATGGTCCAGCACAGTGTATCTCACATTGGAATTTAAATTTAAAAAGTTTTTTAAGTCTCTGTTGCTGTGTCTAGGGAAACTTCCAAGTCCATGGTCTTCTTTACTTCAAAAAGCTAGATCAAAAAATTTTAAAATATCAGTCAGTTTTCTGTTTATAAGTCAGCAATGTCAGAATGCACACTAGAGCAAAGAAGTCAACAAAATTCAACACTACCTTTATTGCAGTTACGTAGCCCTTTGTTCTCCTGGATTATCTACCTTGTATATTTTCTCTCAGAAGCAAGGACAAAACCAAGAAACCCCAGCGGGAATTGAAAGTGATTTTTTAAATTCTTTTTAAAAGAAAACTTTACATATATATATATATATATATATATATATATATATATATATTTTTTTTTTTTAATATACCACAGTTTTAGTCAGCTTTTTCATCACTGTGACAAAAATACCTGACAAGAACAACTCAGAAGAGAGAAAGTTTATTGGGGGCTTATTGGTCCAGAAGTTTCAGGCAATAGATGACTAACTGTATTGTTCTGGGCCCAAGGTGATGCAGCACATCATGGGGGAAAGACCCAGCAGAGGAAAGCTTCTCCCCTCATGGCAACCAAAACACAGGGAAAGACAGAGAGAAAGATAAAAGAAGGGGCCACAGGAAGAACAACCTCTCCAAGAAACTCCCCCAGAGGCCCATTCCTCGAAACATATCCCACCTGCCTACAGTTACCACCCAATCATTCCATTCAAACTCATGTTGACAGATTGGATTATAGCTCTCATAATATAACCATTCTACCTCCAAACATTCCTGCATTAACAGGAGTTTTGTAGAACACCTCATCTCTAAACCATAACAATCATAGTATGTACATTAGGACTGTGAACAGCAAGAAGTAACTTTTAGGGTTAGGTCATTGTCCAACATTAAATATTGTGTGATTGCAAGGAAATATAAGTTTAACTTACTTTATGAAATGCTTACACTCTAAAATGTTTAAAATTTCTGGGAATCCATACAAATGGAATGCAAAGTTTGTTATTACAGTGCCAAAATCCAAAAGTCCTTTTACTCCATGAATTGTTTTTGAAAATACAGCATCTACTTTTCAAAGCATGTTCTATTGCATCACTCAGGGTCACTTTCAACCAATGGATTTTTTTAAACATTATTAAAAACTCTAAATTTTTATTTCTCTTACTTTTCAAATGCCATTCATATTTGTGGTGCTTCTTTATTAATGCTATTGTTTTAAAATGAGGTCCAGAGACTCCTGATCTCAGCAAATAACTTGGTGAATATACTGTTGCTTTGGGGCAAGAATAACTTAATATTCATGAAAAGAATCATTGTGATTCCCAAGCTTTAGGTATTGGGGCTAAATAGCTGATGTGAACAACTTATCAGGGGATTGGCAACATTATTAAAGTATCATGTAAAAGCCAAGATCACTCTGAGTTTCAAAAATCTAGGGAAGGAAAAACTCCAGTACTAGTTGACATTTCAATAAAATGTGGCTAAGAATAAAATGCCTCGTATCAAGAGATCTCGATGGGCTAGCTTTGAGCAAAACAATAAAGCAGAGACAAAGCAGTAAGATACAAATATATCCTCATGATAACACACAAAATCTGAAAATCAATTAAGGCCATTTCAAAATAATATAGAATTAAGCAATTTTATGAGAAATTTAAATGAGAACCAAGTCAGTGAAATGGCTATGTGTGCTAGTACTCTGCTAGCAGAGATGTACTGCTCTCTATTCACAGCATTACAAATGTCATTTCAAGCCCCTCAAAATGTTCAAACTTAATTTTTCTATTTCATGCAATTAATATTATATAGAATACATTCCAGTGTGTAGCAAAAGTAGAAAGTATAAAGAACTGTTAGATTTTTAGGGATATGAGTAATTTTATTTTTCTGGAGAAATCCAAAATTTTCCCTACTTTTAAGTAAGAATGTTTCACTGAAATCAAGAAATATA